ATCAGCGCACATTTATTTCGCTCCCACAAATGATTCTTTCACACAGAGACTCGGGGAACTATTGGTCTATCTTACACTTCGATGCTCATAGCAGAACAGAAAAACAGTGCAAATATTTGATACTCCACATATACGACAATTTGCATCGCACATAGATCATCTCTCTGTGCCCGATCAATCGATTAATTTGAACTAAAAATCCTATGGGTTAAGAAAACCAAAAACTTGCAAGCTATTTCCGTCATAAAACCTTTGAATTTCACTTTCTACTGATCGATAAAACAAGTCGATGTTGTGCGACTCAACACATCTGAAGTTACGCAATCATGTTTCCGGGTAATTTAAACCAAATTATGAATGAACAAATGGATCATATAGTCCACGCAGCCATATCAAGACATACATTCATTCACCAGGAAGCTAAATAATGAGGGGAAATCGTCGAACGTATGTGATCAAAATACCGATTGGACGCAATCCCGAAAGAAATGGATAGAATGAGATTCCGAGACACCCACATCTACCGGGCAGACTAAACTAAACTGTTTATCTTTTCCAGTTCATCATATTTGGTAGTCACAGTCAGCCCAGCTGGGCAATAAACCTTTATATCCGAGCAAAAGCGTGAACTTTTATTGGAATAAAACGCTATTGATAGTAAGTACACTTGATGAGATTGTGTGTGTGTGTGTATGTTTTGGAAGACAATAAATTCGTCCACTGAATCTCTGTCTCCGCACCTGACGAACGCATGCAATCAAAGTGTACGGAAAACAGAGCGTGGAAATTTAATGCACAACGAATTTGGATATCACAATACAGTTAGGGGATGCGGTACATCCGTACGCAAAAAAAGGAAGTTGGGCATTTGTTCTTTGTCGCGTATGTGCCGGTTATGACGAGGCAGGATACAAACGATAATCAGTGGTAAAATAGAGGTCAATATGAAGGTGCGTCTCGCGGTATTTATGGTCTGTTTATTCGCAAAGAGAACGCTGATAGATTCTGAGAAATTGCGTATTTTTTGGCCCCCAACTTGTAAGTTATTTAGAACATATAAGAAGGAGTGCGTTTGAACAAATCGATGAGGTCGTATGCTGTAAATTTGGACTTAGAGAAAACTATATTAATGATGGCAATAATGCTAACATTAACTTGCATTCCTCATAGATCAGTTCTATGCATACTTTACTTCTTGTTTGACAATATACTATGAGTGGATTAGCTAAACAAGACACGAATAACACACATAACACCCGTAGCTAAGATTGAGATGTGAATTGATAGCTCAGCAAGCAATGCCGGAACTACCCTTATCCGTTTGGGGTCTTGGAACCCCGACCCCCAACACACAACTATCTGCAGATAACCATCCATCCATCCATGCAGGTTTCGAACACTACCACCACTACCACGAAGACAACAACAAAAACCGACAATCTTTAACCTCGACACGTAATCCGTTGGCATCGACCCACAATCCCTAAGACAATACCCGCAATGCTTTGGTCACGACTTCCAATCCTTTAACGTTGACCCACAATACTTTGGCAACGACTCGTAGTCCTTTAGCCTTTAATCATGCTGCTGTACGAAAATTGCATGTTTGTATAATCAATAAAAGGAGGTGAAAATGCACGTATGTGGATGAAGAAGAAATTTATGTCGGTTTGCAGCTTTATTGTTTGTCGGTCGTGGTGAAATACCTCAAGGGTTCTGTAAACCTGATCATTGTTTAGCAATACTTTGCGGAATCATCGTTGGAGAAAGAACCGAATATAGATTACGGTGAGCAGAAGCGCATGTTTCAACCGAGATGTAATAGTTCAGGATGAAAAGTTTCCTGATCTTTGATTGAATAAATTATGTGACATTTCAGAAATTCTCGGCCGGAAAAATCGCGAATGATCCACGTCTCTCTTTCCAATCCCAGTTCAGGAAGTGATTGCCACCGATCGATCGAATTACTCGGGAATAGTTTTGTTCAGCCTCCTCCC